GGGGGGGGCAGGGATCAAATTGTTTCTTAAAAAAGCCTAACCGCCAGGTTTCTTGAGGTCTCTTACTGTCATTTTATTAACTGCGAGTCCACTCTAGTCACAAGTTATCGTACCATGTTCAGTCAGTTCGGCAGGATCATTGACAAAGTCCTTCTTTTTGTGGGAGGGGTAAAATCTTCCTTCTTATACCCTATGCATTTAAAAAAGAAATTAAATTTTGGACATGAGATGCTTAAGATAGCAAATTGTTGTACTTTTTTAACATTCTGGTCTAATTAGGGCTATGTATGATACCTACAGTTGTTTTGTCTGGGATCTTAAGGATAACATTTAAATGTTATTTGTATGCAATTGTTTAATTTCAGGTTGCAGTTCTTAGTGTAACACTGTTTCCAGTCAGGCTTCTGTGTTTAGCTCTTCTCCTTCTTGTGGCTAGTTTGATAGGAAAAATTACAACCCTCTGCATGAAGAAAGAAGAAGAACCAGAACCATTGTCAGGATACCTAAGGTACTATAATTATAGTATCATTATTTTGCTTGAGTTATGTCAGGTTTGTTAAAGTGCAAAAAGGCAAAGTTTGTACTTGATGATGAGCCATTTGGCTCATCCAGCTGGATCTTTGCCTTGCTTCCACAACATGAAGCAACTATGAAAATTACCTCCCACTATTTTATCAGCCGAGGCCTCTTTACAGTTTGCTGGTACCCATTTGTACTCCTGGACAAAGAGAGGCCTGTGAAAATAAAGTATTTCGCCCATGAACACAATACCATGACCGAGCCAGTTCTTGAACCAGGAGTTCTCAACCTGCAGTCCAGTGCAGTAACCATTAGGGCACCGTATATTCCTTGTATTGCACAGCTCGCATAGATATCACAGGTACCCACAATTGAGTTTGAAATGAGTATTTCCTGGCTGTCTGCTGTCGTTTTAATTCCTGTATTAGCAATTGTGATCAAAGCTTTTATTATAATCAGCATGCTGTGTTTCCGTGTAGGATTATGAGAAAGCCACTTCAAGGTATTGCCCGTGCAATGTTGTTCTGCATGGGTTTCCATTGGGTTAAAGTCAAAGGCAAGCTGAGCAGTTCAGAGGAAGCTCCAATACTAGCTGTAGCTCCACATTCATCATTCATTGATGCCTTGGCTTTGAGTGTCATTTGCTTACCTTCAGGAGTTTCTAGGAAGGAAAATGATTCAATACCTCTTGTAGGGGGTTAGTGTGAATTGAATTCCATGATGTCCTAAGTTGATCCTCTGACCCCTCAGGAGTGACTGCACTTGACATCTTATTTTTCCTTACAATGTCATCCCTGAATCACACATTAGGGTCATAAGAATAAAGGAAATGATCACCAATTATAGAAGCTATTTGTTGTTAATGAATTAGATAAACCCTTGTCACCACCTTAGGATAATAAGCTTTCTAACCAGAATCCTCCCTGAGGTATTGGCCACAGAGTTACCGGTATTTGTTACTCAGATGTGGGAAAACTAATTTAGTTAAACAAATTGCTTTCTGATGTGCTATTGTATTTTCTTATTTTAAAATACCTGCATTTATATTAAAAATTCATTTTTGCCATACACATATACCTTCTAAGAATTTAACAGCTGAGATCAATCCAAGCAGATGCAAATCAGAGTAAAATTCTGGTCTGTATTTGCTTGTTACAGGATGCATCCGTGCTTTGCAACCTGTATATGTGTCAAGAACAGATCCAGATTCCAGAAAGAAAACAATCTCTGAAATCAAAAGGAGAGCCACTTCTGGTGGAAAATGGCCTCAAATAGTGATATTTCCAGAAGGTTTGTAGTTTATTATATCCATTGTTATGTTCTGGTGGAGTTTTTTTTAATTCTTGGTTTAAAATTTTTTTAAACAAAAACAAACTAAAAATTAAAAGTAAACACAAAATTAATCAAATTTGTCTCTCTTAACAAAATGCATTAACATGGCTAACTTTGTACAATTTCTCATAGGAACATGTACTAATAGGAAATGTCTGATCACCTTTAAACCAGGTTGGTAAAAAAACTGAATGTTTTCTTTTAAGGATTGGCACAAAGTGTTCTTTAAAAAGAGCCCTTGATCTGGGATAACCTTCTTTGAGACACTGAGGGATGATGAAATCAAGCTGCATGTCACTGCTGTGAAATGTTTCCATTTTGTTTTTCTCTTTGTTTATAGGAGCGTTTTATACAGGTGTTCCAGTTCAAGCTGTGGCATTAAAATATCCCAACAGACTGGTTAGTGAGGCACAATGTACTGACCAATTAGTTCAAAGATAAATTTACCTTAATAGTCAGAGCAATATATAATTTAACCTATTGATGTCCAGTGCGCCGACTTTGAGTATGTACTTAAACAGGTTGAAAATATCTTACAAATGATACCAGAATGAGCACAATTGAGTGAAGGACACTGGAGAATAATAGCCAAAAAACCTTGTAACTTTGACCTGAAAATCTGCAAAAAAAATCTTGTTCCATTACCCACCTACCTTTCTGAGCATGTGGTTTGAAAACAATGAGTAGTTTCCTAAAAAATCTCTACACCAAAATGAAGCCTACTAAATTTCCAGCAAGTGAGGAGAACATTCAGGCAAGGAAAGGGAAAAAAAAAGGGCAGGAGAAGGAGAGAAAAGTAAAAGTCATAAGTGGGGCATCTTGAAATTTTGCTTTCTGCGCCTGCCTGAGATTTTCAGGCCGGTATTTTGCATTTGGATGGAAAGGCCGTTGGGTGTACAAGCTGTGAATGGGTTTGTGGTAAGTTTGAGCTTTTAAAACCACAACTGTACAGTGACCCGAAATCTGCTTGACTAACTTCAAAACACAGTTTTTCACAAATTAAAGCTGTGGCTATTAATGGGTTAAATCACAAACTGAAAGAAATTTTTTATAGAAATCTTTTGCTAAAAATTCACAGTGAAAAACATAGAAGTAGTTCATATTAAAGTCATTTTTTTTCTACAAAGTATTAAATTCAGTCTTTACGTAAATACCCCACTCTTAAGTTCTTGTTGTTTTTCCCCTTAGTTTTACTAATAAAATAAAACTACCGGTATTCTGTTTTTGATAAACAGGACACTATGACATGGACATGGTCTGGCCCAAGTGGGTGAGTGCGTTTGACATGTGTCAAATATACAGCTCCAGAAAGACAATATTTAAATGGTTTTGTCAAACTGTGACTTTCTGACTGACAAGTTGCTGTAACTTATTGTATCTGTGGCTTAATTCAAAATGAACTCATAATGCTACCAAATTGAAAATATCCTTCAAGATATCAATTTTGAAATTGCTGACAGAAGTAAGTTAGTTTGTATATGCATATTGGATAAATCCCTAACAAGTCCTCATTTAATTACTTATACCCATCCTATATTCTATATCATAACCAGAGCTTGAAATGTTATCATTTGGGATACTCTTAATAAGCAATTATTGGACGAGGTTGTGCATGATATTAATCATGAATTATGAAAACCAAGGTCTGAGTTAAATCTTCTGATGTGGAAGGCTGAGAGAGATACCACACAGACTAGGTTCAATAAATATATCTTATTAACCAAGCGTGAGGGCTGTACTGGGAGAATATTGGCCAGAGGTCTTGACAGTACGGACCGAGTGCAGCAAGGTCCGTACTGTCAAGACCTCGGGCCAATATTCTCCCAGTACAGCCCTCGCGTATGGACCGAGTGCAGCGAGGTCTGTACAAAAAAGACCGAGGGCCGATATTCTTCCAGTACAGTCCTGAGCAAGCTTGGTTAATAAGAGATTTATTATACAACTGAAGTTCAAAGGGACACAAGTGCGGTATCATTCGGGACCATTCGGGACCGTGCTCGGTCCAATACTGAGAGAATATTGATCGGCAATAGAGCATTTTGATTGGTTGATTTTAGTTATTAGCCCTCTGACTGCCTGAGTTGTGTAATAATTCATATAACAGATGAAAACGGAATTCAATAATTGTTTTATTATACATTTTATGAACAATCTGCAAAAGAAGACACTTCTCTCTGAGTTTGCAAAAGTTTGAGGACACAACATGGATGATGGGCTTGGAAACTAGATAGACTTTGAACTTGACATGATAAATGCAATATCTCCTAGAAATACTGGGTTGTCATATTGTCAACTTCAAATGCTACAGTAACTGTACATTGATCATATGTTCTTGACCAGTCAAATTTTTAATAGCAAGTCTAATGTTTAATTATAATTTGAATATATCAACAAAGTTGAAATGGTAAATTGGCCACCGTTGCGGTTATGAAAGCTGACGTTTCGAGCGTTAGCCCTTCATTCATTTCATTTAGTAGACCTCTTTTGTAATATTTTGTCCTAACTAATTTCTATCTAATTTGTTATACTGTTCATTGATTTAAAATTATTTTGTTACCTTTTTAGAATAACCCTTCTTTGGTTAACACTGTGCCAGTTCCATAATTACATGGAAATTGAGGTAAGAACAAAAAACAAAACAATTATGATGGTGATGTCCTCATTGACGTAATTATATATATCAGGAAAGGGAATAAAGTGTATCCTACCTTGAATGTTTCTGTTCAAATTGACCAGTGATTAACTGATGCAACACACTTTTCTTAGCTTGTGAGTAAAGTTTTGAGTTTTACCATTTGCTTATGATTGGAATGCCTTTTCTTTCCCATGCTAGATTCTGCCAGTTTACAAGCCTGATACAGAGGTAAAAATAATATTTTCTGTTTTTGTTTTGCTGTAACTTGTAACATCTTTGGGTATATTTTAACTTACCCAGTAATTAGCAGTAAGCTTTGTTTAAGCAACAAGTTGTGGACTGTTTTCTGAGTATTCAAATTATATTAGTTGGCCCTTTGAAGTGGTGTAATATTAAAGCTGAGTTTGCTGGGTTCTTTTTAGATAAACACAAAAAGACTACCTTTCAATTAGGACTGGACTGATGCAAAGGCTAAATCTGTTTTTTTTTTTTTTTTCTTTTTTAGGAAATCCAT